AACAGTTCATAACGAAGTTTGAATACTTGTGTATTATTTAGATTTTTCGTTATATATTCTTATGACTATTAAACACTGAATTTGAAATATTTTTATAATATTCAAAGGAAATAAATAACCTCCTTTAAGATGGGATAAAACTTTGAGCTAATATTAAATTGAAATGGAGTATTATATCAATAATACCAAATAATATATTTACTTGTTTAAATATTTAATGTAAATTGAATTCCATTAGTGTCATTTTGTTGTCTTTTAGTACATATGTAACAGCCGTTCTTGCCTTAAACTAACAGAGAAACATTCCAAAAATATTTCATAGAATTGATGAATGGATGGAATTGTTCTACTCATATTTGCCACATTCGTAAATAGACAGATTGATAGATGAATGCAGTATGTAAAATAATACCAAATTTAATGAAATAGTTTTTATAATCCTCATAGTTCATTTTTATTTTTTAAAGTTTGTTAAATTCATATAAAAATATTATTGTTCAACTTCCATAATTTTCGATATCGATAACCAAGCATTTGGCATTGATTGTAGTACGATTTCGCGACATTGTTATTGGTTTAAATGTAAACTTTTTAGAAACAATGTATTACAATAGTATATAAAATAAAATTTATCATCAAACAGTAATGTATAAATAGAAATAATAATATTGTATAAAAACAATGACTTACGGTGAAAATTAGAAATAAATGAACCGAAATAATCATTGGTAGGTTATTTTGTTCATGAAGGATAATTCTATAAAAATTAAATTTATATATTTTTATAATAGCTTTCATAAGTTTGTATGCATGTTTCATAAAAATAATAAAGCATCAAAAATCCTTTAAGTTCTCGTGGCATCAACTTGATCCTCTGATCCTTGATCTGATCAGATTTTCGGGGTGATAATGTATTTTATAATACTTTAATATATACTAAATTTATAAATTATTAATTGCTTAGTATAAATTAAATAATTAAATATCTCAAATTACCAATAGGTATTTATTGAACCCTATAACCAGATTGTCCTTACTAGCTAATAATTATTTTAAAGTTGGCCCAAAACACTAACCACTTTGTTCATCGAGTTGTACATCGATTTTTTAAACGGTTCACGGCACCGAGATTATTATAATCATAAGCCCTTAGGAATTTTTCATCCTATCACAAAAGCCTTCAGCTCTGTAATTAAAAACGCTTTAGCCTTCGTATCACCTTCCAACATGAATGCTTGGCAATATATCTGTTCTTTGCCAAACGTATTATTTTGCGAATCTTGTTTCATTTCAGAAAAAATAATATCGAAGTTATCATAAATTAAAAAAGCCGAGGAAAGTAAAATATACTGAGGATCTGATCACATCCTGATAACTTATATTTTTGTCACGAAGAAATTTTGTCAGAAATTCCTGTATTGCACGTTTTGTAAACAATTCGATTAGAAAAATGCAAATTATTCAATAAAATTTTAAACTTCAATTTAAAAATTCTGCAATGTCTCATATCCTTAACCATGATCAGATCATGGTTAAGGATATGAGACATCGTTAAATTTTTAAATTCAAGTTTGAAATTTTGAAGATCATGATGATCTTAAGCATTAGTTCTGTTATAGTATACTTACATATACATACAAAAGTTTAGATTTTTTGCAAAAAAGTGTAAGAAATAGTTTCCACTTTATCTACAAACAAGTTTCATCAAATGGCTTCCAAATTTTTAAAATCGGTACAGTCGTTTTCGAGAAACCATCGATGAAAATTTAAATTTTGGCTTTTATGCCCTCACACAGTCACATTCATTCAGAATGAGTTGAAACGCGGGGAAAATATAAAAATAGCAAATCGGCAAAAACATAATAGCAAATTTTCTGTCAAAAACATAAACTTGTTTTCGGGACGTAACTGTTGGTAAAAAATCAGTAATAGTCCAGTCATTATAGTAAGTTTACCTCAGAATGCGAGATACCCAGCTGTACGTCTGTAAATACTTATATATTGACAACCAAAAGTTGTCTCAAAACCTACAAATGGTATTGACACCCTACCAAATGTAGGTTTTGAGACAACTTTTTGGTGTCAATATAACTCCAGAACGCACGAACCGATTTCGACAATTTTGCATTCTTTGGAAAGGTCTCGGGCTCCGCAAGATTTATAGCTAAGGAAATTGGTGGTGCATGGCATCGTCCCCTAATGCAAATTGCTGGAACTTCACGCACCATAATTAAAAATTCGAGTAATGACATTAGTGAGAATTTTCAGAATTATGCTTGGTTAAGTCTACGAGCAATTCTTGCCGCCAAGAAATATGATGTACACGCACTGAATTTCACCATTCAATCAAAAATTGCTGGGGATTTGGTGACATACCAATGATTCTGACTGGTCTTCCGGTTGACTTCAAACGATTGCAATTTCCAGATCGCCTTGCGTTCACAATGGCAATTAACAAGTCGCAAGGCCAATAGCTTAGTGTTTGCGGGTTAAATTTCAAATAGATTATTTAGAAAATCATTGTTTTTCTCATGGGCAGTTATACGTTGCCTGTTCACGAGTTGGAAAACCATCCGCTTTGTTTGTGCTAACGTCAGACCAAAGAACAAAAAATGTGGTTTACCAAAGAGCACTTCAATGAAACGGATAATTTGCGGATTCACTTTCATTTGATTACAATTAGAGAAGTTCAACTAAAAAACACTGCATTTTTGTAATCGAAATAAATTCAGTACTGTTGTATAATAAAATCAACATTTTCCTTTTCAAATTTAAAACAAACAAAAAATTTCTTAATCTTTCTCACGAAACCATCTGGTGGCGAAACGGAGCTCGTCGGGTTTGTTAGTTTATTATAGAAATTACAAAACCCTGTCAAGAGCATTACATTCGTCTGATTTCAAATTATGTTCTCTGGTCGTCCGTCCGTTTGGTAAGCTTTGACATCCATTTCAGACGACCGGAGGAGCAGTTGAGGTAATTAAAATCAATTGCCGGGAGCAAACGCTTCCACTTATGAGACCCCGTCACATATCTTAATGTATATGAATATGGTATGCCATACTTATACTTATGTGCCACTTATCTTGGAATCAGTTAAATTGACGCTTGAATGCTGCATATGTATAATATTATTCAAAATAAAAGAAAACGTATTTAAAACGAGAAGAGAATTGGAATAAATTAATTCAGGCGTGTTAATAATGGTTATGATTCTCTTTTATACATCTTTTAATTAGCTTTTCATGTTTATTAATTAATTTACTTTATAGAGTTATAATACATAAATTATCTGAACTCAAGATATAGAGACCGATTCTGCAGCATAACAGAAAAATGTTATGGCAAGGCCATGTTACGCTCCGACTTCCATACATTATGCTATTAAATTATACTGAATACTGTCAGTATAATTCAATATTCAATCTATAATAATGAATATTGAATTATACTTTTGCACATAAACTGCAACCTCACTCGTACTGTATAAAGCTGTATCAGAAACACACTGTTATCTAAGATCGTTTTCTTGACATTTGTGCGGTTTCTAGGTTACATTTTCTATATGACAACCTGAGACTTTACACCAACCACATGGTTTTTGTTAATATTTAGTATGAACAGTTCTTTATAACATGGCCTTGCCATAACATTTTTCTGTTATGCGGCAGAAACGGTCCCATAATATGTTATATGAGTACCCAGAAAACCACAAAAGTTAACATAACGTAGCCCAGAAGATACGTCGTTACGAAGTTGATGGTTACGTTAATAAAACGTACATATTACGTATAGTTGTAACCTTTAATCGGCTACATTTCAAAAAGTGTTTTAAAAAATCGTCAAAAGCTAACTAATGATAATTATGGTCTGAGAGACTAGATTTCTCCAAAAGCAAAATTATAAAACATAAAGAATACATCTACATTATTTTTTTTCGCCGACCAATTGAAAATGAATTTGAATTCCTTTTACCAATGCAATTAATTTGATCTTCATATTTTATTTAAAATCTGACTTTTAAGAAATAAATTTTGCAAAAAAAAATCTGTATATTTACAGGACGAGTAATGGTATAAAATTATTTTCCAACCAATTCTAAATCGTGTAAATGCTAAAACAAATGTGGTTGCATTTGTTTTCATAAAATTGATGAAGATGGATGATTTTACTAGCATAATGAAAACTGCAGATTTTGTGTATATTCAAATTAATAAAGATATATTAATATCCAGTGCTAATTTTCCACTTGAAGTTTTTTATTTTTAAATTTTTTGTATACTATGATTGTAAATTTTGCAAATAAATACGTGTATTTATTAATGTAATTATTATAGAGATAGAGATAAGAGGATATTATATACAGAGAAGGCATAGAGAAGGTTGAGAGTTAGAAAAATTCATGAATAAATGCAAAACTATTTTTATTAACTTTTAGCACCACGAGTAAATTTAAAATAAATCAATTGCTCATCTCACCATTTTTTTTCAAGTTTATAGATACAATAATATTTTTTTAACTTAATTACGAATTTTATTTAATAAAAGTAATTTATAATACTTTTTCACTCTATATATCTTCGTCTAAATATATTATAATCATTATTTTTCAATATGCAAATCTTAAAAAATATGAAGTGTGATAAGCCCTGATTAATGAATAAAACCGCAGGAAATAATCTGGTACTAAGCAATATAAATTAATTCTGTAAACCAGTTTAAAGTGGATATAAATAATAAAATAAACTTTATCTCAAGTTGAATGACAACTATAACGAGAATAGTAATAAAATCATTTCTAACAAAGACCGATGAAAAGATTTATATAAAAGTATAAATTACTTATTGATGGTGTTGATGATCACATAATGGGAAAATTAATGTTAATTTTGCAGAATAAATTCAAGGCATTTAATAATAATTAATGTTTGAATTTCGAATTTTTATGGTATTTGAATTTTATATAAAATGATGAATAATGAAAATTTTATTATTTACAGGTTGGATTAGAAGTTGTTCAACCCGGTGTAGGCAATGACTTCGGAGACGAAGATGCAAAAAAATATTATACATATTACCAATGGGTGTGCTTCGTTCTTTTCTTTCAGGTAAATAGATAAATTAAATTATTTAATTTAATTTTTTATTAATAGATAATAAAAAAGAACAGTTTAATAAGGCTCATTTTTAGAAGTACTGCTAAATTATATAATAGTTGTAGAATCCGTATTTGTTTTTAGTTTTAAAATAATCATACATTGCAAATATAACTCCCATCTATACTCTAATATCAGAATATAAGATAACCAGAAATTGCGTGAAATCTTATTTATAATTTTCAAAGAATGCTTCAATTATATTGATGTGATCTAAAGAAATTTTTGTTATTAAATCGTTATATAAATATTTAAGCTATTTGGCTTCTTGCATAATTAAAAAATATGTCACAGTATTTTTCTCTTTTAAGTAATTTTTTTTGTCAAACTATTAATTTATTTAATGATTGTTGAATACAAAACATTTTGAACGACATGGGCTGATGATTGTGGTTTAAATTGGAATTGAGAGTAAAGTGCTAAATAAAATTTTCAGAATTTAAAAGCTGTTTCAAGTATTTGAAATAAAATGAATTTTTATTAATAATATCTTGCTCATAAATAAATTGTAATTAGTCGTGTAAGTATACTAATACCTATAGGTTCACTCAAAGTACATAAGGTTGACCTTATGTTCTATTTTACTGCATAAATATTTATTTCGGAACTGCATAATTAAATTATTATATATTTTTTTATCTTTTCCAGGCGATTATGTGCTACACACCAAAATTCTTGTGGGACTCATTTGAAGGAGGACTGATGCGCACAATAGTTATGGGTTTAAATGTAGGAATGTGTCACGAGGATGAAAAATGCAAAAAGAAAGATCTACTTATTGACTATCTAATGAGGCATCTTAAAGTAAGATATCAAAGATTTTGATGACTTTACAGTTTAACCATCATTTTTATTATTACCAACGCTCCTAAGTAATTAAAAACTTAGACAACGCATTTCAATTTAGATGATTTTGCTAATCATTTTCATAGTTAGCACGAATAAAATGTTTCCTGAATTTTTCAAAGTTAAAAAATATATTTTCAGTTTTAAGTAATTTGTACGATAAATTACTCCATATATTTCTGAACCTATGATGATATATATCACTTTAGCTTGATTTTCAAAAAGTAGGAGTGGATTAAAGTGATGGAGTATATATATTTTTATTTGCATAGATTTATTGCCGATCAAAATAATATAATTTTTTAAGACAATATGCTGGGTGTAAATGCATTTAAAAAGATTATCTCCTATAAGTATAATTATTTTTTCCTTTTTGACTTTTCATTTAAGGTTGTATGGATTCCTCGCTTAATTCTTTTAAATATTTGTTTGAGTGACCTGGTATATTTTGCTCCTTTCTTTTATCATTTCCTTAATAGTTTTTATTTTTAACTCTTTATGTAGTGTGTCATTTGTAATATACCAGGGTGCGTTCACAATGCATCTTAAAATTTTCGATTACGCTCTTTGTATTATTTTTATATTTGAATTGCTTGCGCACGCCCGTAGTTCAATTCCGTATGCCCAGACTGGAATAATGATTGTTTTAGATAAGTACAAAATCATGAGCTAAAAAATTAAAAATTGTACAACTTGATGCTAAATCATTTCGATTTTAAATCTTCAAATATTTTATAAATAAAAAGTTCTCTCCCCCTAAGTTTCCTGTGAAAATAGATCAGTATCTATTCTGCAAGAAGGGCATTAGGAAGCAAGACTGTGACTGACGAGTATAAATGCAGCAAAATGCAACAATAAAATAGATTGTTGGTCAAATATTTAAAATATCTACTGAAACCAATAGTTATTACAGTTATAGTATTATTAGTTAAGGTAGTACAAACTCTATGGAAAAAATTACTTGTATAAATCTTGTATAGCTTCAATCGATTTAAAAACATAAGAGTGATTCACAATTAAATGTGTATGATAATATGTATAAAAGTTTCCTTTTTCTTTTTTAGCAACACAAATTGTACGCAATAAGATACTACGCCTGCGAAGCTTTGTGCTTCGTCAACATTGTTCTACAGATGTACATCATGAATAAATTCTTCGATGGCGAATTTATGTCTTACGGAACCCGAGTTATGAATTACTCAGATATGCCTCAAGAAGAACGAATAGACCCCATGGTTTACGTCTTCCCAAGGGTCACCAAGTGCACATTCCACAAATATGGTGCTTCTGGTACAATTCAGAAGCACGATTCCCTATGCATTTTGCCACTAAACATAGTAAATGAAAAAACCTATATATTCCTCTGGTTTTGGTATATAATTTTGGCAACGATGCTGGCCGGGCTGGTCATCTATAGAATAGTTATCTTAGTTTCGCCATCCGTTAGACCACGTTTGTTGCATGCCAGAAATGGAGCAATCCCTAAAGAAGCAGCATATGCTATTTCTAGGAAAACTGATGTTGGCGATTGGTGGATTATCTACATGTTGGGAAGAAATATGGATCCACTTATTTAGAGAAGTTATTGCAGAATTGGCAAAGAAAATCGAAACGAACAGCAAAGAGACACGAGCGATGTCCGAGTAATGAACGATTTAAATAAAATTTTAAGGGCTTATATTTACATTATTTCATATTAGCTCCTGGATTTAAACAATAGAGCTACTTATACAAAAGAAGAAAGCTGTCAGGAAATATTTTTCTGATCCTGCCTATATTTAAAAGAAAATTCTCATGTAAGATGAAATTCATGGACAGAATTCAGTTATATGAAGTCAATATGATTTTTCTTTTTTTGTGTAAACCGTTTCTCACTTTGGAATATTTTTTACTATTTGGTATATATATTTTTATGTTAACATTTATTTTTTTTAAACTTCGAATTAGTTTTCAAAACTTAATTTTTTTTGCATACGCTGTCTATGAGAATCTTCTAGTTATAGAGAGTTTCCAATTGTTGATTTGATATATATTACAACTATTTCTACTTATACTATAAAAATTAGTAGAATAATATAATTTCTTTAGATATGATGAATAAATTCGCAACACAGGCATATGTATATATATATATATATATATATATATATATATATATAAATATATTTATAATTTAACTACAGAACATACCTAGAACAATTCCTATAAGTGAGTTTTGTCCTGCCATTAGCTCTAAGATGTCGAAGTTCCATTATTTAACATATTGTTAAGGAAAAAGACACTATTTAAATCTACAAAATAAAAGCTAAATTGTATTTTTTATAGTAATATTTTTGATAGATTTAGCATTGTATAAAAATTCTTTATACAGGTTCAATATAAATAATTCATAGATAAAAGACAATCATATATAATAATATTGTTTTAATTTTATATCAAATTCTAAAGTATGTAGTCAAATTTGAAAAACATCAAGAACAGTCGCAATAATAGATTGTGTATTAATTCATTTGCATTATATAATTAAGAGGGTTTCACACAAATATTTTCAATTGCTTTAAAAGAAAATAATTCGGAGTTCAAAAACTCACTTCATTATTATCAAATAGTGATAAAAAAATTGAATTGAACAGGTTCCTAAAATTTTTAAATAGTTCTGATAAGATTATCCACTATTCGGATTTGAATAAGAATTATATTTATCTAATAATCAAAATATAATTAATTTTATAAGTACATCTGCTGATAGTGGTAAGATTTGTGATGCAAATGCGTTATAAAAAGCACCTCTCATACAAAAGACTGCGATTTTTCTACAATTAGCCATTGTTTTTCAAAGACAGGTTTATAGTTAAGATTTAGTAGAAAGAAAGAGTTCATATAAAGTATTAAATCATTTTTGTACAAGAGCATTTTTAACATATCTAATTTTTGTCTGATTTGTACATATTAGACTTATGTATTTATAATCATATATTTTTTTAACAAAATAAATAAAACAATATACACTATTATAAAATTAAATTCAGAAAAATTTAAGGGGCGTTTGTTGAAATAAATTTAAACAACGAAATATGCAACTCAATTAATTTTAAGTTTAATATACTGTGATTATGATGGAGATGTTTGATTGATATGTCGTGTTTTTACACAAATATACTTTTAGATCATATAATGTGTTTCAATTTTTTATGATAAATAAATTCATATCGAGAAATCAACAACTAAATTCTTCACTTAATGCCATGGGACCATGAAACCTTTTCCATGTAAAATAGAAAAATGCTTTAAATCTATTACTCTACGACAAGGCTTCAATTATTCTATATTAATAATTTCAAAGTCATTGTAACTCTTTCTGATTAGTTATGTATAAACATACTGTACATAAGACAACAAAAAATTCTTTGATCATGTTTTATTATTCATTTACATTTGACCAAGATTGCTTTTCAAAATTACATCTCTAACAATATTAAATTCAATGGATGTGTTTTCTTCCAAGATTTGTGTCACAGCTTCTTCAGTTAAAGTATTAAAGCTCTCCAAATCTAATAATTAAAATATAAACAAAGTATTTCACTCTAAACATATGTTTAATTTTGATAAAAATATTACATTCAATACTTACTTCCAACTGGAATGTAACCACTTAATTCACAAAATGCTAAATTAAACGATAAACTAAGTTTGCAACCGAAACTATCTTTTCTTGGAAATATTAAAATTCTTAATGCATTGCTTTTGCAAGTCTCATTTAGAGTTTTGCCAAATGTCATAAAAATATTATGAGGAATATTTAAATCAATTAATAATTTTATTATGGTATCAAAAGTACTGCATACATTTGATATCTCGCTTTTAGATTTTACTTCCAAACAAAAGCCATGTGCAGGATAATTCACTAGTTCATATATATTTTCACAAAGGTTTTTGCATGACTAGAATAAAATTATATTGAATTGTATGTAGTAATAGGAGTAATGTGTATTTTAGCATAAAACACAAGCTACGCACCACATTTTCAATGGCAAGACGATGGTCTACAAATAACAGGTGAAAATGTAAGTGATTTACAGAAGCTAACGCACCTAAACTATTGTAACCCATTCTCAGATCTCTACAATAAAAAACATTTAATCCTTATACATAAATACACTTGTAACTTTTGTATAACAATAATTATTATCGATGATTAACAATTCTATTTTACATCAATATACATGAAATATCTGGCACAAATATATTATGTTAAAATATTCTGCTACAAAGCAAGTGAGTATTAGTGAGTATTAGTGAGTTTATTCAATGTATTTTTATAATTATTTCATATATTTTAATCAGCATTAAAAATATATAAAATAAATATATAAATATAAATGTCCTTAATCTCTTTCTTCTTTTTATTCATTTACCTATTATTTCCCAACCACATCAATCGTACTGCTGCTTCTATTGATGTTTTAGTAAGAACCTGAGGTAAGCATTTATTTAAACTCGGACAATACAAACAATGTCCAATAGTCAGAGGGCTCGCATTGATTATAATCGTACCTTCTAATATAAATAATATTACTGTAAGATACTTGATATGAGTTTATATTTTATCATTAGCAACGCTACCTATTTCCTTATCATATACAATATCGAATAAAATTTCTTCTGGAGGTATTTTTGTAAAATTGAATTTTTCTTTATCAAAAGGCTGTGTTAGAGATGAGATACTTTGCGGAATGCGACGTTTTACATTTCTATCGGTATTTAACTAAAATTGTTCCAAAATATACATTAGAAAATTTGACCATTTATATTTATCATTTTGTTTTAACTTACTTGAATGTAAAATGCATATTGTCCGGGCAATACTTTGTCTTTATCAATCATTAATTTGTAGTTAAAAACATTTTTTTCTTGTAACATTAACCATTTTTTTATGATTTGATCACTGATCGGACTACAATTTAAATTTGGTACATCAAGCATACATTCAGAATCATAATTATAATAAGAATCGCTCATATTAAAAATATTTTTCTCATAAAAAGTAAGTAGAAACTACCTTTTAGCCTTAAATATTGGAGTAAAACAAAATGTATTTCAATTTTTCATATTCAGATATCGACAAAGTGAGGGTCATTGACCGTAAACCGTACTGGAGTTTATTAAAGAAGAAGTTTATGTTTTCGGTAAAAAAACGACTTGTAAGTTCTACATTTTCTCGGCGGTAAAATTTTTCAAAAAATATTTGTATTTATCAAATTAATTTCTCTATCAATAGGTGAGCGTTCGCCTTGTAACGTTTCAAATGATTATGAATCGTTTGGGATTATGATTGGATAATGAACATGTATTTGTATGTCTGTCGATTTTTGGCCTTTAGTCGACGTTTTCTAAAAAAATTCAGTTTTAATTTCAATATAAGTCATTTGATGTAACTCGATGACGACTCCAAGATTATTAGTTTTGTGAAAAGATCGGTCGAGCGGTTTCTTTCGGATTAGCAGAAAAGTACAAAAAATATTATAGTTAGTTTTAGCCAAAAACCATGAACCAATTTTAATAGTTCAAAAACTGCTGCTCGAAGGATATTAGTTGATTCTGTAGATTATTTATATGTACATATCAGATAGATTTGCAACTTGCTCTTGCCTTAAAGGAAAATTCCCTTTCTTCATCTTAAAGCTAAATTCCACTTTCTTCATCTGCAAGTGCATATTTCCTACAATTATTATCAAAATTGTAATTATTATGCGTTTTTTAATAAAAAATTTTATACTTTAATTTATTTAATTACTTAATATAAATAACTAATATATATATATATATATATATATATATATATATATATATATATATATATATTCAGTCTTCAGGGCAATACATCTATTAAAAACTTGTATGAATTTAAAACATTTTTATTTTTTCCATACGTTTCGACACATTGTTTTGTGTCATCATCAGTGAACTCTAGTTTGAAGAACAGATAGATTAAATAAAACTAATATATACCATACATATCATATCACTTTCTTATATATTAGTTTTAATTAATAATTTCTATCTGTTCTTCAAACTAGAGTCCACTGATGATGACACAAAACAATGTGTGATTTGAAAAATTCAAGAAGCAATCGATTCATATTGATAGGAAGATGTGCTGATTAGTTTTTGGCAACGGCAGGTCTAACCGTTACGAAGATACGAAGCAAGGAGTGCAGAAAATAGAAACCGAGTTTTTGAGAGAACGGAGTATCCGATTTGAATGATTCAAAAAACAGTCCACTTGTGTTGGCAAAGCAATTGTTTTTGGAAAAAATGTTTTCAATTTTTCTTTATATAAATCGAAAATAATTCAGATTTTAATTTTAATTCTGGCTAAAGTTCTAAAGCTCTCACTTATATACTTGAAATAAATAATTTTAACTTTGTAATTCAGTTTATATAGATCTTATAAATATTAGAAAATGTTACAGTATTTGCAATAATCTTTAAACATTTTATAAATATATTAAACATTTAATATTCATCGATCATAGGGAACGGTACGGAAAGTTCCAGCAATTTGCCTTAAGGCACATATTTCAATAAAAGCAAATAAATATGACAAAAATATTGCCATACATCATCATAAATTTGGGAAAAAACTTAATTCAACTTAATTCAATTGTTAATAAGAATTGTGTGAAATTTCAATTTAAAAAGGAGTTAAAAAAATAAATTATTCAATGCTAGATATTTGACCCTTTTCGAAAAAAAGTTGGCCACCTTGTTTTAAATTCTGTTCTAGACAACACGTGTTTTTATAACTGAACATAACCTCACAAACAAAATAATACAAATGTCACTTATGAAAGAGAAGAAAATTCAATTTGTGTTTTGTTAATACTTTTTACAAATATTGATGAGAAATTTTATTACTATATGTTTTTTTTGTGAATAAATATGGCTAAAACACATTTCAGTAAGTATATAAAATAATTAACAATCATATAATTTAAAACAAATGTTACTAAAGTCGTACTATATATATTTATATACCTCGTGCATGTAGAATTTTACTGAAAATAATTTTCAGACGGATCTTTATAGTTAGATAAATATATCTACATTATCATATCTACCAAATTTGTTTTTTACCAATGAGTATTTACTCAGCTTTCTACATTTTTCCTTAGTTCGTTCATATTACATTTTTTTGTTATTAGAAGACTTATTAATAAGTTATTAGAAGAACAATGCTGAATGTCTTTCTCAAAATATTTATGTTTTGTTTTATATATTTCTGCAAAATGTCCCAATTAATTTTACCAACTGATAATCCACCGCTATAACTATTTATTTATTTATATTTTATATTTATTATATTTTATTTTATTTATATTTATTATATTATTTCACTATTTCTTACATAGCAGAAACTGATGAGAGTGAAACTAAATTGAAAAAGGAGCCATTCAATCCACCAGAAGGAAAAATTAAAAAACACAAATTCAACAGAAAAGCCAGATTGATAATCAGAAATTTATCATTCAAAACCACAGAAAATAGTTTCCGAAAACATTTTGAACAATTTGGAGATGTTCAAGAAGTGACTATTCTAAAAAAACCAACAGGAAAATTAGTTGGTTGTGGATTCGTACAATATAAGACAACTGCTGAAGCAGCGCAGGCTTTACTTAAGACAAACGCTAAAGAATTTTTAGGAAGGCCAATTCATGTAGATTGGGCTGTTGCCAAAGATACTTATGTTCGTCATGTTAATGAGCAGACAAATCCTGAAAATATAGAAATAAAACAAGAAAAGGATTCTGATACAGACAATAAAGAAGTAAAGATCAAAGAGGAGCCTTTGTCTGATGCAGAAAGTGATACTAAGGAATTGAAATCAGAGAGTTCAGATGAAGGTAAAAAAAATTGTACTTATGTTTATTGAATGAATATATACAAAGTAATAATTTCCTTGTAGACTTTTCTAATATTAAAAGTTGAGACAAAATAAAATATGAATGTAATAGTCTCCATGATGTTTTGTTTTTTTGATAAAATTTTGAATTTTGATAAATGATAAAATAACTCTTCAAAATAGAGTGAATGTATACATATATACAAGTTTATATTACAGATGAAAAACATGCAACGGATTCAGATTCAGAATCTGATGATTCTGATAGTGATGAAGAAAGTGATGAAAGTGATATTGATACAAAAGATTCAAAATTAGATATAAAGCCAGAAACTAATTTAAGAAAGTCAGCAAATGATGCAACTGATGGAAAAACTGTATTCATCAAAAATGTCCCATTTGAAGCCAAAAATGAGGATATTAGAGAGTGCATGCAACAATTTGGAGAAGTTATTTATGCCTTGGTCTGTGTTGACAAAATGACAGAGCATTCAAAAGGCACAGCATTTGTTCGGTTTAAGGTAAAATTATAAGATATAAAATGATTTAAAGATGTTTCACCTAAAAATAACCTGAGTTCAATTTAATCTTATACTTTACACATTTTTTGCATATCATAATAAGTATAAGGCATACAAATTATTTAATATTTAATTATATAGGAGGAAGAATCTGCAAGGCGATGCTTAGAATCAGGAACAGAATTAAAGCTTTTAGGACAAATACTAGATCCACATCCAGCACTGAGTCGTGATCAAGCTCATAATAATAACTTAAAATCAAAGCAAAAACCAATGAAAGATTCACGAAATTTATATTTAATTAAAGAAGGAGGTACAGTTAATAAAGAAAATATACTAAAGTAGAATAAATAGTGCAAATAAACTCATGATATTTTATCAAACAGTTGTTTTGGCGGGTACTAAAGCTGCTGAAGGAGTTTCAATGAGTGATATGCAGAAACGTTTGCAATTGGAACAAACAAAGTCACAAATGTTAAAAAATTTAAACAGGTATAATTCAAAATTATCACATTCTTGTGTATGAATTCAGCAAAATTCAAATAAAATATTTAATAAAATGGTGAAAGGCTTTCATCATGTCTAGTTATTTAAAACACTTCAATCATACTAAAAGCAAAATAATGTTTAAATCTTCTTATAGATTTATTTCCCGGTATCGATTAACAATCCATAATTTACCAGAAAATTATGATGATGCTAAATTGAGAGCATTGTGCTCAGTGGGAGGAAGAGTTGTGCGAGAAGCTAGAGTCATGAGAGATTCAAGACCAACACCACAAAATTTAAATGGAACTTCAAAAGGATTTGGTTTTGTATCTTTCACTAATCATGAGGACGCTCTAGCTACTTTAAGAAGATTGAATAATAACCCCACAATATTTTCTAAGAAGAAGGTATGTAAAGTATTTAATGCTGAATTATTTTTACAATATTTATGATGTTTTTATTTTGAATGTATTTATCATAGTATCTAAAAAGGTTTCAGAAATTCTTTCTGAAACATAGAAACTTTCTAAAACCAAAATTGTCAAGAAAGAAAAATAAGAAAGTGATATGATAAGATTTCCTTATGTAACTTATTTAAATTATAGTATTTTTAAAAGTTGATTTTTTTTTACAGAGGCCAATAGTAGCATTTAGTATAGAAGACAAAAATGCCATAAATACAAAAGTAAAAAGGCAGCAAAAATCTCTTATGCAAAATCCAAACAATAAGAGACATAGAATAGATACGGCTCCTTCAAGCAAAAGGAATGTGAATAATAAAACAAATAAACCCAAAGATGGAATTCAAAATATAGAAGTAAATGAATATTCAGGAGTAACAGCCAAGCCAGGTCCTCAAAAAATGAGAACTAAATTTGGATTAAAAACTCAAGCCAATCTTCACATACAAAATTTAAAGAGAACTAAAAACCAGATGAAAAAGATGAAAAAATCTTTCGCTGAAAGAAAGGTGGACCACATAAGACAACCTAAACAAAAACAAAATAAGAAGCAAGGTACAAAAGATGATGCACGCTTGTCAAAACTAATAAATGATTACAAAAATAAATTAGGACAGAGTATAACACAAAAATCCAAATGGTATGAATAACAAAATGTTACATTTGTAAGATTTAATATAAATATATTTAAATTTTCAACACATCATTTGTTTTTAATTGAAATAGTAAAATGTACATAATAAGACTTAATACTACATTTAAAATTCTGTACAAATACAATAAAAAAAACAATTTGTTAAAATTGAACTTCAGTCAGAAATATTATACATACCTAATAATGGCAGAACAATTTCTAATTAATTGCACTTCATTTAATTTATCTATAATTGTACTAAAATGTTGAGTCTTCATTAAAATATTTCAAATTGTCTTAGGCAGTAATTGCACTTGAGATCAGTAATTTTTTTATAATTCAAAATATTTATCTTTGATACATTATTACAATTGTAGCAGTGTTTAGAAATATTTGTTTGAGAAATATGTTGACTAAATCTTGTCGAATCACATCCTGAATCAAATGTGGAGGTGGTCTCAGTAAAGCCACTGTCCATATTTTCTTTTGCTTCAGGTATATCAAAACTTCTAGAAAGATTCTTGGCGCTTGCTGATCTTTTTTTCAGTGGTGTTTCCATTTGAGAAATTTGCATTGGAGATAATGGTGTTAAACCATTATCAAATTTATCATTATCTAAATTTGCAAAGTTTTTGTTGATACTTCGAAAAACACTGCTTGATTTATTTACAACCAAAGGACTGTCAATTACAAAATCTGATCTTGTTTGATCAATTGACATATCTTGGGAGAATTGTGTATTACTATCTGATTGGCGATGGCTCCTAAAATTGCACTGAAAATCGTCATAGCACTGTGTTGGTGGGGAAGACTTTTCAACTTCTGTTTCCTCACAGTTTGGTTGCATACTATTTTCTTTATTCAACCGATTTCGTTCTGGAGTACTCTGACAGAAAGAATACTTGTTTACAGCATGATACAAATGATTTGTGATAATTTTCTTCTGTTTTAAATTTGAAGTTTTTTCCAGCCTTTTATTATCTGAGGTTTGTATAGGAGATATTATGGAAAATGTTGTTTTCTTTGAAATAGGGCTTACTGAACTAGGAGAAGGAATGTTGTACGAAGCAGGAGTACCATGATTAAATTTTTGTCGAGAACACATTAACATGCTAATAGCAGGAGATTTTGAGACAGGAGTTAATGTATTGTAATCCATGCTCAAAACTTCATTGGACATTCCAAGTATATGTTCATCTTTGAAAAGATTTTTCAGCATTGATTCATCTTTTGCCTTTGAAATAGCATTGCAGTTTGCTTCTTGTTCTTGGTAATAAGTACAGAATTTTTTTAAAACATGTTCTACTTCAGGATCTAGTTTTAATGGTATTGTCATATCTGTTTGCGTAGCACTATTTTTAAATAAACATTTTTTTGTCGCATCAGTAGATAAAGAAAACTTTTCTTTGTCATTAGGACTTGACAACATTAGATTGTTTCCAAAATAATCCTTGATGGCTTGTTGGGCTCTTTCTTCCTCAAGTGGATTAAAGCTTGTATCAAATTGAGACATATTAATTTCAATATTAGCTGGACGAACTTCAGCAATTTCATCAATTGTCCATTCAAACTCCTCATTTTCTGCATTAGACTTCTGTCTAGAAGCAAAAAGTGTCGAACTACAAAATGACATCTTTAACCCATCTATAAGTCCTTTATCAAAAGGATTTTTGATTTTAAAAACTTTTGAAGGTGGGGTAGAATGTGCTGGTAAAAAATTATAGCCATTTCTTTGTTTAAAAATGGTCAATGCCGGTTCTTTGTTTGTTCTAAAATTCTCTATAGATTTTAATATATAATCATTTCTTTCCATTAATAAACTAGATTTTTGTGCCATTCCTTGTCAATCAATTTACGTGGTATTGGTATTTATGCTGAATATAAATACTTGCGTAAATTTAGAATGAATCAGTCCAAAATTTGTCAATTCATAATTAATATTACTTTATAAAATTAAAAATTGATAAAAAGCATCGGTTCGGAAAACCTAAAACTCAGTCAAAACATTTAGTGCATTTTTACCTGTAGATGAAATGCAGGTTAGAAAAGAGGACAATCAACTTATATTGTTTACACGACCGATACAAAAACATCCGATAACTTTAAAACTTGAATTAATCTACTGAGTTTTTGTTGTTTACAGTCTCCTTTAGTTGAGTGTGTGTGAAACAAAATTTGTTTGAAGGATTGTACACAGAAAGAAAAAAAATAACGGCCTTGGGCTTGAGGTACCACTACAATAATAATAAAATTTCAAAAGTAATCGATTGCAAGATTGAATCCGTTAAAAATATACACTCGCTTTCAAGCTCATATTTAGCTATTTTAAATATAAATAATAATATTATAATTGTTTTCTTATTATGCTAGAATTTTTCATTATTTTCAATATCATATATTAATTTATATAATATTATTAAATGATTGTATCCATTAATGAATGCAAAAAATATTATTATTGTTTATAATACTGTAAATAAAGTGTTTGAAATTGTAGATTTTTCATAATTATATAGCATATAATTTACAAAATATTATTATCATTTACTTATTATATTGGAAGAAAAGATGACTTATGCATCACCACCTTGTTCATTCAACAAAAGCAGGAACCAAAAGATTAAATTATTTGTACCCATAACACAAATAAAACAGTTAGAAAAAAGTTTAATCTACCCATTTATCATAACTTTTCTTATTTATTACAAATTGCAATTTATTGACAACAAGAAGGAACTTAAATAACTTATCCATCTTTTATCTATATTTATAGAAGAATTTTAAATTCAAAATTGTATCAAATTATTTTTTTTTATAATAAAGTTGTAGGGTATGGTGAATAATACAGAAATAATTATAAAAGACATAAGATTTATTATACACATTTGTCTGATATAATCATCTTATAATTAATTTTTTTGCATTAATATTTAAATACAAATACTACAAAATATAATATTACATACATAGTCTTAATATCCAAGTATTAGAATTCAAAGTAACACAGATTTACTTTTATTATCTATCTAAAATGCTAAAGTCAAATTAAAAACTATGGTCAGAACGTAGTCAGAGATAAAACTTAATGAGAACTAAGAAGTAATTTATATGCAACAGCCTTATAACTAAAAGTTATATAAGCAGCATAGTTACAGCATATAAAAATATAATACATTGCAACTATCTAATAGTCAAATAGTTGACAAACATTTTAGATTATTACCTAGAACAAGTTAAAAATTTATGTGATCTTTTTTTCTTTCAGAATAAAACAAAAGATGCAGAAATCGAAGTTTAGTATAGTGTTAAGTAAATCTCATTTCATCAATATTCATGATTTATCTTTATAAGAATATAATTCATATCTTATTATTTTTCTCACCTCATTATCAGCGGTATAAAAATATTTCTATTAACTATGCCAGATTTCCATCTCTGCATCATAATATCCAAAAACAATTCCACATATATTTTCAAGTTGCTCTCAAGAATGTACTCTAAACTTTTAACCTTCTCTCCATCTATAAATATTACGATTCACTTAAATCTAATATGAAGTCTGTGGTAACATGTATCTGTGGTTTCGGGGACTAATCCGCATACACAATATATTGTGGGTTTTCTACATCAGACACGTCGACTTGCACATATTGTGGTGATTGGACATTAGAAATTGTAGAGCTTCGGCCTATAGTATTTCTTGATCTGTAATAATGATGATAAATATAAAAGTAAACTAGTGAAGTAAAACATGCATTCCTCTAAGAAATAATTTAACCTGTGTGTCATTATATTATTTTTGTTATCAATGTGGAAGTCATTTTCATTTCATATCGAATACATATCAAACTATCACTTAATAAATTTATTGGCACATTCAAATTATATACATAAAGAAGACTTCCAGAAGTAATGAACTAAAAAGTCCAATAAATACATTTTGTTCACACTTCGATCATAAGATCTAAAACTAGTATTTCACAATCAATTATCAATCTTGTATAATTTTCATATAAAATTAAATAAGTAAAAAAGCTATTACAGTCAGCCAATATAAAATTCATGATTTCAAATAAAATATGTTATTGATATATAATAAAACTTCTCAAGAATATAAACATGCATACTGGGTCTACTGAAATATATTTACTCAGAAAAATTCTGTTGCTCCAATGTAAGTATATGACTTAAGAAAATGTCAAATCTTGTTTGTAAAAATATAATTTTAAAATAGTTAACAAAACATTATAAATTACTAGTACTTTTAAATTCCTCGCATTGAAACATTTAGTTTGAAGATGAAGTTAAAATCATCAAATATTATATGTATTTGAAAATGAAGTCGTGTTTACAATATAAATATATATAATGCAAATGTATGATTGTATTTGCTTTCATAGATTAATAAATTTTATAAAAATTGCAAAACAAAGTGATAAATAAAATATTTTATTCAATGTTCTTAATAGAATGAGTAGCCAACAATTGAATTAAAATATATTAGTAATGAATATAAATAAAATAAATCACAATAAACAAAATCTAATAATTCGAGAAAATAATTGATCAGCGTTTTCATCTAAGTAAAAATTTTTTCCCAATAAATATAAGCAAACAATAACAATATACTAATAAACTAATTATTTAGGTTTGATTGTAGGATATTTTTATAAACAATTGGCGATAACATTAAAAAGAAGAATTGGCTAGATATAGGATATGAATTAAGTCATTGAATGCCAAAATGTTGTATACTTACTGAAGTAAGTTAGACACCCACTTATTATATTTTTTATCACAGTGATGCTTACATTTATCTTATAAATTGGTCATAAAAATATAAAACAATCAATCATTAATCTTACTTTGCTTTAGCATGTGTTAATATGTGTGATTTCAGATTCGTTGATTGTGCAAATTTTTTGTTGCATCCATCAAAGGGACAAACATAAGGCCGATCACCAGTATGTATTCTTACATGCGTCCTGAAATTAAACAACACAAATTAGAATTAAAAAAAAACAAGAAAATAAATATAATCTGTATCTTATTAAAAGATTAAATAAAAAAAATCTATATAAGAATAAATCTATCAATATTGATAACTAAATAACTTAATCCTGATTTTATGTATGACTCATAAGGAAACTTTTTATATATCTCTAAGGGTTTGAAAAATTTGACAATTATTTTAGACATAAAATATAATTTCACTTCATGAAAATAATTAATACACCCATAGAAAAGAATGCTAATTTTTTGACTAATGATTGAATAAAGAATACTTGAAGTTAATAATTATTTAGCATAATATTTAGAAAATATTGAAAAACATTACCTAAGATTGAAATCTAATGAAAACCTTTTGCCACAACCTTCAAATGTGCATTGGAATGGTTTTTCACCCGTATGCACCAATTGATGCCTTTTTAATTTTGAACTTTCTACAAAAGCTTTTCCTAAAATGAGATGAATGAAATAAATAAACTATATAACAAATGTTCATGTATTATTCTTAATACATGCATGTTAATAATCTAGATAACAATATAAGTATATTTTTTAAGACGCATATTACATACACGCATATCACTACATATTAAATTAAATCTGAACTATGCTCAACACTTGAAAATAAGATAATTCTCGACCCAATAAAATACTTTGCAACAATTAAATTTGAATGCATGTTACATATTTCAATTAACCAAAATTAATTGCAATTATTATTTAACATAGTAATTTTTGGTATTTGGAATGCAAGAATTACATGCTGCATCAGTTTATCATTCAATGCATTTCACAGATCTCTCCATAACAAACTTATTTCATAAGTATATTAAAATACTAACATAAGCAACTATACTCACCACATTCAGCACAAACATGTACACGAGGCCCATGTGTATGCAAATGCTTTCTCATTGCTGAATTATCCCTAAACATTTTTGTGCAACCTTTATGCGGGCAGGCTAAAATGGAAACAAGTATAACATAGTAAATACCCATATCTTATGAACAAACTAAATATAATTTATCTAATACTTAAAACATACTAATGATATTAAATGGAATAAAGTAAATATCAGCACTTCCAACTTTATTTTACCAGCCTTATAAGAAGAATGTCTTTTCAACCTATTAAGCAAATATCCTTCTTCAATATATTAAATAATATTGTATATCATTGCATAAAATGAAGCACAATCTCAATATAGCGATATATAAAAAGAATAAAAGAAAAAGGAATAAATAAATTTATATACATGGTACAGACTAAACTTAGTATGATGATAAAATTTAGGAATCAAAGTTATTACATTAGTATTATTGCTAAAGAGAAGTGATTAAATTACCTATAGTTCGATCTAAACCACTTTGAGGTTCCTTTTTCACTTTCACTTTATGTCCAGGCCGAGCAAACTCAGCTAATTGTTTTGGATCAGATAAATCTAAACCTGGAACTCCATCACTAGGAATTTTTTTTCCTGTCATGTATTCAGTATAATCTGGATCAGGTTCTGGATTAGATCCTTCATCTAAAGATATCCATGAATAAATCATTTTACATCTTAATATATTAGGAAAATGGATTGATTGTAAGTGTAGAATAATAAAAATCAATATCTCTACCAGAATTACTTAAATTACTTAAAATTTAAATGATTTAAAATTGTGCATACTCTTGATTAGTTATATATGTGTATCTATAATTTGCACTTGCAGTTTTAAAACATTATGGAATAATGTAAAATAAACACTGAGAAGCTTACCGTCATCTGTTCCAGATGCCCACATAGTGACACTGAATTCACCTTCCATAGTTTTTATTTGTACTTGTTTCTGTTCCCACTTTCTAGTTCGACCCTGTCCCATTGTCACAGGCTCCAAACCAGTAGTTAGAGCTTCATGATTGCTCAAAGTCATCAGATCAGGAACAGTTCGTGGTCTGCTAAGTATTCCACCTCTTTTTATACTGGTTTTACGTTTACTGAATATTAATATCATATAAATACAATGGAATTATACATAATTTATAATAAAAATGCAAGAGATTAATGCATATTATTTTGTAAGATTTATGTATGACTTATGATTCATATTTAAAGAAACAAAGAGCACATTCAGAGA